ACGTATTTATAGTCTTTGTATCCATTATAATTTTAATTACAAGTTACGTTAAAAACGAGATTTTCACTATGTCTCAGTATACAGGGTGTTCAGTAAGTCAGGAAACGGGTTTCTATTGTTCTCATTGTTACAAACAAAAATTGTTACTGAACACCCTGTATAATAATAACAGCACATGTCAATACAACATACGTTTATTTTAAACAATTTTTTTTTTTTTTAAATTATATACATGTTTTAGATACTTGTCGACAGATAGCTATTACTAACAACTACTGTTGGTATTTCTTGGTTATTTGTATTTGATGGTATGATTGGTTCCGACTGTATATCATCGGCCAGCGACCCAAAAAATGTCGAGCATACGTTTTCTCCGTTAGAAGACTGAAAAAATTATTTATATTTATTAATTACGTTTTACTCTGTTAGAAAAAAAAAAAAAAAAATTTAATTCACCATTTCTTTAGTATATTCTTCCAGCATCGTCCACCGTTGTTCCAACTGCTGGCTCGCAAATTGTTTTATTTGGCTTATGTAGCTCAGATCGCTATTGGGTAAACTATTTCTAATCGTATAATCCGAAACCGCATTGATCAACATACATTTGTTTTCCACATTTACTTCATACTGAGATTTCATATATTGAGCCATCTGTTCCAACTGTTGTAGAACCAATGGTTGAATTACAGTCATCTTTTGATTGATAGTCTCAAAGATACAACATTCCAAAGCGCTGAGTTTTAAAATGTCTGATTGGGTGAGTAACACTCGGCATTCATCTTGTGCTTGTGATTCAAAGACTAGCGAAGACTCTCCTTGAAACGTAGTCTTTGAGAGTGTGACGTATTCATCCTTGAGTAAAATAATCTTTTGTCTTGATACAGGGTCGAAAATTAGCGACAGAATATTACCCATCAACGTATAAATCCGTTGTAGGAAATCTATCGTTATAAGTATGTAACGGGTTGACGATAGTAAACGAATAGTTACGTTAAATCGATCTTTTGGATCCAATCCTATCTGAACGAATTTACGAGGATTGAAATTCAAAACGTAATCAGTGCAATCGATTAATTCACTGTGAGGTTGGGGTTTAGCAAATGTTTGTTTGTTATAGAATTTGGCAATTGTAGCGAGAGAACCAGCCATTCTTAAAGTATACAAATATCGACTTAACACATTACCAACAAGTTAAAGTAACGTCTGTTTATATAGAAAATCTTATAACGATTAGAGCGCTATGCTTACACCACGGTGAAGTTATTAACTAATTTAAACCCAATAGTAATTAATAGTCAAATTTTCGTCGTTAGATATGATACAAACAGTTGTAAACACAAGCAGACGGGGTTCAAACAGGATGAACAGGGATTTGAACGCGTTCAGACAGGTTTTAACATGTTCAGACTTGTTGTATCGAGATTATACGATTCCAGGACATGCTGTTCGGTAAACCGACACAGTGTCCCTACTACTTTTATAAACAGCCTACTACATGCCATACATAGTACAACCTGCTAAAAATACCATAGCGTATAGTAAATTTGCTATTTAATGTGTAAAACTCTTCTTTGCACTGCTTAGTACTATAGACTTTTATTATACACAAAGGCATAAAGTTTAAATAAATATGACAAAATTGTATAAAATAAAAAAAATAGTATATATTATTGAATTTTAAATCTTACAAGTTTATGATACTAAGTTTTTTTTATTTTTTTATATAAATAAGTTTAAAAAACAAGGCAAAATATTAACAAATTACTGAAAATCAAACAAATATGCATTTCCACTTTTGCCTCTATATAATAAATGTATTTTGTTATCATCATTGTTGATATTGTAAGCTTCGATTTCTTCATTAGTTAATTTCAATCTCGGGATAAACACATTCATATTGTTGAATAGACAACCAACAACGACAACCCCATTTCGTGTGCTTGTATTTTTCATAGATATGATTTTGTATGGCGTGTGTTCCTCCAAATCACTTAATTTTGAATATCTTTTTAATGCACTCTGATCGTTCAACTGTTTCTTTAATTGCTCCATTCTAAAATAAAAAAATAATAAATATTTAACAACTCTAAACATAACTAGTAACCAAAGTCAGTGGAAAACAGTTTAAATGAAAAATATATATAAATGTATTACTTACTTATTTTATATCAAAAGTCATAGAAATTCTTTAGGACAACAAATAATCAAACAAATGGTTTTTGGTATAATCGCTTTAGAAGAGATAATGAGTGAATGATCCTGAAATTGATGTGACGTTCTTTTATAGGGGTCAAAGATGTTGTTTAGACAAGTTTTGGTTGGTTTAAACAGGTACTACACAAATAATGTCGGAAATATGTTTATCTAAGCGTCTGGTAGACGATGATAACATTCATAGAAATTATAATGTCATAACGACAGATGTTGTCTTTGTTCTCATAAAATGTGTAGGCGTGAAAAAAGACAACGTTGTCATTTTTCTCATAAAATGGATACAACAGTGACCATTAATATATTGTAACATCTTTGGAAATATGCTGACCTAAGCGTCTGGCATCCGATGATAAGATTCATACGACAATAATCATTACTATGCGGCGACCTCTTTGATGTTTGAAATATGCTGACGTAAGCGTCTGGTAAACGATGATAGCAATAGTTCTCATAAAACGCGTAGGCGTGAAAAAAGACAACGTTGCCATTTTTCTCATAAAATAGATACAACAATGGCCATTAATATATTGTAACATCTTTGGAATTATGCTGACCTAAGCGTCTGGCATCCGATGATAAGATTCATACGACATTACTATGCGGCGACCTCTTTGATGTTTGAAATATGCTGACCTAAGCGTCTGGTAACCGATGATAAATTTCTTAGAATTTATTATGCCATAACGACAGACGTTGTCATTGTTCTCATAAAATGCTGACGCCAATGAACGTTATAATATAGTAATACATTTGATCTCTGGAATATGCTGACGTAAGCGTCTGGTTACCAACGATAAAATACTATGTAAAAAATAAATGCATACAACAGTGATTATTACTGTACGGCGAAATCTTTGATATTTTAAATATGCTTACCTAAGCGTCTGGTTACCCATGATAAAATTCTTAGAAATTATAATGCCATAACGACAGACGTTGTCTTTGTTTTTATAAAATGTAGACGGTAATGTGTGTTATAATATGGCGGTACCTTTGATGTTTGAAATATGCTTACCTAAGTGTCTGGTAGGGAATGATAAAAATTCTTAGAAAAAGATAACTTTGATAAAACGCAGACAGCAATTATTTTTCGTAAAATGTTGACGGTAATGTGGGATTATAATATGGCGGTTGGTTTCAAGTTAAGTTTCATTACCCCGTCGCTCATTACGACATGTTGAGGAAATCCCCCTCCCCTGACTTAGGTTAGTTTTCATTGGGTTTCAAACATTGTGCGCACCTCACACCCAATTGTCTTAATAGAGTTTGTTACAAATCGTTCAAGGAATAGTCAAGTGTGGTGGCGGCGGTCGCTACTTGACGTACACTATTTCAATGTAATGTATACATTAAATGATAAACGCAGTGAAGACTCGGGGGTGCTGGTAGTGGGGGAGCGACTTTAAATGTAATACCTCTAGTTATAGGTATAAAAAAATTGTCAAATTAAATATAATAAAATAAAATGCGATACACATATTATTATTTTAAAGGCGCAGTAGAAAATAATAATAATAGCGATTATACTATTATAGCAACCTAAACATAGTAATTCTAAAAATATATTACCAATTATAGTAATTATATTAATTATATAATTAATAGTAATATACTAATATTAACGAGATGTTTTTCTAAGCATCTGGTGGTAGGCAATGATAAAATACTATGTAAAAAATAAAAATGCAGACGCCTATGAACGTTATAATATAGCGGTACCTTTGATGTTGGAAATATGCTTAGCTAAGCGTCTGGTTACCCATGATAAATTTCTTAGAATTTATTATGCCAAAACGACAGACGTTGCCATTGTTCTCATAAAATGTAGACGGTAATGTGAGTTATAATATAGTAATACATTTGACGTTTGAAATATGCTGACGTAAGCGTCTGGTTACCAACAATAAAATACTATGTAAAAAATAAATGCATACAACAGTGATTATTACTGTACGGCGAAATCTTTGATGTTTAAAATATGCTTAGCTAAGCGTCTGGTTACCCATGATAAATTTCTTAGAATTTATTATGCCAAAACGAGAGAGGTTGTCTTTGTTCTTATAAAATGTAGACGGTAATGTGAGTTATAATATGGCGGTGCCTTTGATGTTGGAAATATGCTTACCTATGCGTCTGGTAGGCAATGATAAAAATTCTTAGAAAACGTTTTAGTTTAACTTGGATTCATCCCCACCCATTATAGGTTGGTTTATGTTATGTTTCGTTACCCCTTTCCTGTATAGGAATTGTTGATGAAGACTTTGTAGCGTTAATATTAAGTAAATATGTTAAAGTGGCAACGGCGGCCACTATTTGACGTACACTATTTCAATGTAATGTGTATGTTTACACGTACTTTTATCAGTTACCGTTATCAGTTCACATGAGGTTTACCTTACCCTCCAGTAGATGACATCGTAGGAGGAGACAACCATTTCCGAATGGCTACCTACCCCACCACTGACATGAAGTTATAGTGCGCATGCGCACTTTAATCCCCATTTTAATTGACCTTAACACCCCCACCTAAGTTACCTATTACCCCCACTATCGTGAGACCACGGCTCCCTTTACCCTATCTATGATAAGACCACGCCTACTCCTTACCCCCACCCTCATAAATACAATCTTCCATTACCCACACCATCGTGAGACCACTCCACCCCTTCCCACCACCATTAATAAGAACACACCTCCCCTTACCCAATCAATGATAAGACCACTCCACCCATAACCCCACCCTCATAAGACCACGCTTCCCCTTACCCCCACCACCAAGAAACCACGTTTATTGTTTGACCTTGACCAAGGTCATTACCCCACACCATCGTGAGACCACTCCACAACTTCCCTCCACCATTTATAAGACCACGCCTACCCTTACCCAATCAATGATAAGACCACGCCTTCTCCTTACCCCCACCCTCATGAATGCGATCCTCCATTACCCCCACCATCGAGAGACCACGCCTCTCCTTACCCAATCAATGATAAGACCACGCCATCTACTTACCCCCACCATCGAGAAAACCACGCCCACTGTGTGACCTTGACATTACCCCCACCATTAAGAGACCACGCCCACTGTGTGACACGCCCCTCCCCCCGACCACGCCCACCCACCCAGTGGTTGGGTAGGTGAAGGGGTGAGGCGGGGGGGGGGTTCTAGAACTCTCTATTTTACCCTACTCATATTAATTAGATGAATGGTAATCTTTCTTTTTTTTATGGTTAGAAATCTATCATTAAATTTATTGTTATTGTTAATATTAGTCATATGGGCCAACCGCTTTAGTAGGAACCCTTTTTTTTTTTTTTCTACTTCACATCCGGCATGATGTGGACCGCCCTGGAACTACCGCGAGGTATTGCTTCAGGGCGGCCCACGCCGTCTAAAATTCACATCACCACTGAGATCATCTGAGACATCACATCAGAGCTGATTCACAACGTGGTGTGGCCTCCCCCGTTAGCCGGATCCCAAAAGTCGGGATCCGTTGCCCGGGCTGCACCACGTGGAGGTGGGGGCAGGACTTCGCGAGGGTTGGCTTAAAATAATAATTCACAAACACATATCACACTAAATAGAGTGAGAAGGACAGGAGATACCTTATGATGTCTTCTCCGGCCCTCCCACCTTCTTGGGACAGTCCCTTGACCGGTGGCCCTCCCCTTTGCACGTGAAGCACGCGCCAGTCCGATCCGGACCGCTACAGGCCGTTTGCACGTGACCCCTTTCGAGGCACCTGTAGCAGCGCGGACCTTTGTCTTTTGGGACCCGGATCCGGCACGTGCTCCAACCCACCCTGAGTCGTGTCAGTCTGACCAGCGGTTGCGAGGCCCTAATAGGAACCTCGCACCACGCGAAGCGGCCCTTGCCGCTCCCGTGTAGTCGGACTGACACTGACCGACGGGTGTCGTCACTACATCTTTGGAGAGGATAGTGGTCAACGCCCCTACGACGTCCTCTTCCACTATCCACTCCTCCACGTCTAACAGCATGAACGCCACGGACATCGTTGGGCGATGCACGCGGACGTCCATGCCGTCCAGGGTATCTCTGACCTTGGCTGCCAGCAAACCTCGAACCTCCAGGAGCACTGCTCCCGACTTGGTCCTGCGGGTACCGGAGACCACGACGCCCAGCGCCTGAAGGTCAATATTCGCCATGACCCTTTTTATGATGGCCGAATATTGTTGGCCTTCTTTTAGAGGACCAATAATAATGGCCTACGTTTTCGGGGCCCTTGCCTTAATTACGGGCCGCGTAATAGCAAGAGGCCCAGGGTTCGGATGGGGGTCCGCCACCGTGTCAGGCGTCTTCCGCCACCTAACCACCTCAGACCAAGCAACCGGCGGCAGAGCCACAGGTGCTGTCGCGGTCTGGAGCGGAGGACGCGGCAGAGACGCTGAGTCTGTCGCAACAGGTTTACCTTCTTCCTTGCGACTCTTCGTCCTCTTCTTCCTACGCCTTTTTCTGACCCGTTTGACCACCTCAGCGGTGGCTGGCGGGACGAAGAGTGGCGCACTCACACACGGTGTGGCTGGCACGTCAACGGGCTCCATGTCCGGTTTGTCAACGCTAACCGCGTGGTCGGTTTGTGTAGCCTTTTCCCTAACCTTTTTCGGAATCGCTCCTTCCGGCGCCCGTGGATTATCCCCCATCTCCGATGAGGCTACCTGAGGGATCCTGGACCGCAGAGACGCTCTCCTGCACTTCTCCTCATCCAGGATCTCCTCCAGCCGCTTCGTGGCCGTTTGCACTTCTTTGTGCACGCCCATTCCTCGGCGTTTGTCGATAACTCCTCGGAGCACCGACACTTGCTCGCCAACCCTTTCGACCATAGCCGACGTGGCAGTCGCCTCATCCGCCGGGTCATGCCATCTCTTCCGGCAAGGCTGCACAGAGCTCCTCAGCTCGGTGAGGGCCTGGCATGAGAGGGATATCTGCTGAATGAGATACTCCAGGTGGGTACCTGGGACCTCACTCATCAGACTCCCCTCAACTTTTGCCGTTCTTGCAAGGGCAACCACATAGTTGAGGCCGACGTCGAACGTGGCCTCGTCGTCACTTTCGTACTCTTCCCCCAGAGGCGCCCTCCTTTTACCTGGATAACGCAATGGGGGAGAGTTCTCCGGCAATGGGCTTAGCACCGGTGAATCTGTACGGTGGTGGGCCGATGTGCCTTCTCCGAGGGACGGCTCCACCCTTCCACCACCTGGTCGATCACCCGTCCTCATCGCCTCGTCTTCGTCTTCCAGCACAGCAGCCTCGGGAGACGACGATTTCTCGTGCGCCTCCTTATCAAGGCGTTCCGTGTAGACCATATAGTCCACGGCTTGTCGAAGCCCACGTCCCATGCTTCTCAGCACCCGGCTGTCATTGCAGCGGGATAGTAGCTCCGAAGAGACGAGCCGAGCCACGCCAATGAGGCGTTCCGCTGCGGCTTCCCCTCGGCGGCTGGAGATGCACTTGTCAATGAGTTCAGCCCTCTGGCTGGGATCATCGATGCCCTCTAGAGGGTCATACTCATTGACTCTTTCCGGAGCAAACTGACGCCCTTCGTCCAGGTCCCTCTGCATCACCCCTAATACAGTGGACACTGAACTCCGGAACGCCTCGGCCGTCCGGAACTGGCCACACGGAGAACAATCCGTTGACAACTCCACATTCTCCATGCGATGGAGCCAGTCAACCCATCGAGTAAACTCCGATTGGGTCAGCAGCATATCGTCGCGGAAGCGATCACGCACGCCTTCCCAATCGTCCACTATCTCCTCGGTGATAGTAAAACCACCAGCAGTTACCTCAGTGACCCGAAGGTCACTGGAGGGTGCCTGCTTGGCACACCCTCCGACAGTTACTTGGGCGCGAACGCCCCTGGACCCTGCCTCACCAGTCCCACGGTTTCGATGCAGTCGCTAGATAACGACCGGGTCGAGCCTGCAACAGCACTCTTCCCAGCCGGTCCTGAAGGATCCGAACCTTCTGGAACCGTAACGGTTTTTTTACACTGGTTTCCTTCCATGATTGGTTTTTACGGGTGTCCTTCCCTGCGTTTTACCTGCCGCCAGGGGATTTGTTTTCGGTGTTGCCTTCACCTAGGTGGTTGCCTTACCAGGCTATCGGGCCCACCCGCCCGTTATGAAAATTACCCTCGATCGCTACCGCTTATTCGTCCACTCTAGGAGTGGCTTATATCACGGCTACCCTACATATCTGCAGGGTTAACGAGCGAACGAGGGGCTCGCTGTCCGCGACCGCTTATTCGTCAGTCCAAATTAATGGACTGCTTATTTCGCGGCTAACCTGCATATCTGCAGGCCGTTCCTCTATCCGCAACCTGAGGACGCGCCCGATTCCCCGAGCTAGGGACACTGCGCTCGTGCCGACGTTTCGTAGCCCCGTAGAGCCCGATCACGCCGACACTGTAACGCAGCGAAACGGGCAATGTAACGCAGCGAAACGGGTTAGTAGGAACCCGGTGGCGAACAAAATCCTTATGTACCAACCAATAGCTCTAGCTCCCAAGGTTTTATTTTATTATTTAATAGAGTTCATGTAAAATATAATTGAAATACTTATGCTTATTTTTATTTGTATTAAAAACATTAAATAATATGTTATTGTGCTCATAGTTGTTAAAAAAGTACCCATCATTTTGCTTGGTATCAAATATCTTTTAATTAAAATTTAAAATACAATAGGTGAGATAATGTATAGAAAATATTTTATTTTTAACAATAAGGTAAATTATCTTAATCTTCTTCTACGACCTCTTCTAGCCATTTGTCGCGGATACTCTACTCGTGGGACATTAACTGTCAATTCTAAAAATAGTTATAACAATAAATATAAGTTAATAAATGTTCAAATATACTTACTTTCTTGTTGTACTTTTTCCCGATGTTCTTTTATTGCATTCCCCAGAAGATTACAAATATTAGTAATAAAGTTATCCATAGATAGACAAAGAGTTTTGGTTTGAACTGAAGTTCGACAAAGAGGACACACATTACTTTCTCTCAACCAAGTATTTAAACAAACTTCACAAAATGTATGGCTGCAATTAATTGTACACGCCTAAAAAAAAAAAAATTTATGACTAAATTTTATTTATTTCCCAATGATAATGAGATATTCAAAATCATTATTCTAATCTAATTTATGGATGCGTAAAATTCAAGTTTTCTTGAACTAACATTTTGTCGTAATATGCACAATGCTCTGCATTACGCATCTTACATTTATCAATATTTAATATTTAATTAATAATATAATTATATTTAATATATCAATATTTAATACCAATTGTATACAAACAAATAATTAATTTATCTGTCATAACATATACACATTTGTACACAAGCTATTACATATTTATACAGAATGATTTTTTATCATAACCCATTCAATTACTTGCAGAATAATAATAATTTAAACATTTTTTTTTTTTATTATCTTTAGTTACACATTATTCTTGAATTTTTAACTATGTAATACTTTTTAAGTTCATCCCTTATGCCTTGGAGGGGGGTCAACTTTGTTTTTTTAAATGGTAACACATATTTTTAATTTAATAAAATGTTTGAGTTTTTAATTTAATAGTAAATGGCATTTGAATTTTTAATATAACTTCATTAGCTTATTAGATATAAACATTTAAAGTTTCAAAATATTGAGTTAATATACATGTATAATACACATGGGATTGTAAATATAGGTAGCTAATTGGTTTTTTATGACATTGCTGTTACAATCACGAATTGTTTATTATCAATTATGACTACCAATAGATATACTTTTTGTATTGTCAGTTAGTGTATTTATAAACTCACAACAATGTACCTTACTATCATTGATAATAACAATGCTGTGTAANTGATAATCATAATTGATAATAAACAATCCGTGACTGAGACAGCAATGTCATAAAAATCCAATTAGCTACCTGTATTTACAATCCCATGTGTATTATACATGTATATTAACTCAAAAATTTGAAACTTTAAATGATTATATCTAATAAACGAATAAAGTTATATTAAAAATTCAAATGCCATTTACTATTAAATTAAAAACTCAAACATTTTATTAAATTAAAAATATGTGTTACCATTTAAAAATACAATGTTGACCCCCTTACAAGGCATAAGGGATGAACTTAAAAAGTATTACATAGTTAAAAATTCAAGAATAATATGTAACTAAAGATAATAAAAAAAAAAAAAATGTTTAAATTATATTTATTCTACAAGTAATTGAGTGGGTTATGATAAAAAAATCACCCTGTAAACATGTTAAATGGATTATTGTATACTATCTTAAAATAATTATCATGTTATGTTCAAATTTTATACAATAAACTGAAAATCACTAAAAGCGCTGATGGCAACAACCCATGATGGGGGTAATTAATAATAATATAAAAAGGCGCTGATTTTCTAAGAGACCTTCAGTTCTCTTTTCTTTTTGAAGATCTCAATTCAATAAGGAATTCATAATTCTTCTAACTGATTTATTTTGATCAAACTAGCCGCGACCCCGTGTTGTCGTCGGTACATTTTAAAGCGATATCAAGTACAATTATTTTTGCGTCAATAATTTTTTTAATTATTAAAAAGGAAAAGTATAAATCTGAACGTAAGATATATAGTAAGTGAATTTATATTAACCCAATTATTTAGAATTAATAATCTGAGTAAAGAATGATAAAGCAATAGATCACATTTTTATATTCAAACTTTATTAATTGTTACTGACTAGTTCGTACCTTATACATAATCACTTTACATGGTATTCGTGAGATGGCCACCGCCTCTTCGTTGCCTTAGTGTATTATTTCAGGTACTTACCAGTTAGGTCATTTTTAATACCCTATGAAAGGAACTTAATACAAATCTTTTTATAACTACTTGTCTTTACTATTCTAAACCCTCGGACTCTACAACCCCGATAGAACCTCGTTGCTCCTGAATTGACCAAATCCCCAAATATCCAACATTGGTCAAATAAAATACCCCAAACAACAAAATTTTTGCTTATTTTTGTATTACTGCAATTTTGAGATAAAATATGTTTTATTTAAACTTCAAACCCAAGTTCTAAAATAAAATAATTTTGTTGGTATAATTATGAAGAATGTGATTTTTTTTTCAGTCTCTTAGAAGCTAATTTATAAAAACAAAATTTAAAAACTTATTTAAATTTTGAATAAAAAGNATTTAAAAACTTATTTAAATTTTGGATAAAAAAAGTTACTAAATTATAAAATAATAATATATAGACAATGACATAGTAATATTTTTCATTTTACCTAAATTGCATTTTATTTTCATAAACAAACAAATTTACTTTAAAATGTGACACATCATGGTAAAGCAATGTAAATGTAAGTAAATGAAGTAATTGTAAAATCGTTTTTTATCTTAGAAGATTGAACAAATTTTATTTTAAATTGAAAATTTGTGTCTTCCTATGTTTAGCAATCATATTAATTGTTAGTTCAAAATAAAAATATGTACATTTACTTAAAGAAAAGCATTTTAAATTACTTTACTAGATTTTACTATATGAATTTTACAATTGATTTTTAAACACATTTATTTACTTTTTTAACTAATAAAAAAAAAAATTTCATTAGAAATTATTTTTTTAATTAAAATATTTTAGCTTTACTTTTCAGAAATTTTATTTATAATTCTAGAACTAAAGAGTTCAAAAAGTTTTCAGATCTCTACTATCCCTTTATATTATTTAATAATCTTAAAATTGATTAAAAAGTATTCCTTAATGCTTTTTTTAACCAAAGTAACATAATAAATTTGCTAAGAACTTTTAACATGATGACGTGTTATATTTACACTATTAATGGATTTAAATGTAAAAATAATACCTTAACCATCAATTCATTACAAATTGAACATTGAAAATCACTTTCTAGAACATTATAAACTTTTTCTTTTATTGTTTCTTCAATTTTTGATATTTGATCTAGAAAAAAAATGCAAACAAAAAAATTAACTTCTCAAAAAAAAAAAAGATAATAATTAAACTTAACAAACTTTAACTTAAAAATTTTATCTAGAATATAGAATTACAAATTATAATAATTTGATAAATACATCTTTTTAATGTAATTTAATACTTAATTTAGCCTTAATACAATTGAAAGTTTAGGAAAAATAAGATAAATTAAGTTTTTCAAAAATGTCTTAAATCCATAGGTGTTTTATTTTTTAATTAATATTTTTTCTTATCAAAATATTTAATAAAAGGAATAAGATTTATTTATTTTTAAAACGTGATGAAGATGTTTCTAAAATATTTATAAAAATCAATAAAGACCACACATGACAATGCATTATAAATTATATTTTTCTTAGTAATTTGAATTATAATTGTTATAATATAAAAAAATGTATGTTTATATGTAACTGCTTTTGATAATTACTTAATAATCAATGACCATATGGACATGATATTGTTACCAATGTTTCTAATGTTCAATTTAATACAATAGTAATATATAAGCCCAAAATTAATTTATACCCCATTTTGTGAACTCCATCCAAAAAATAAATAAATGGAGTTCATAGGTTATTCACTTATATATTTTATACAGGTAAATAAGTCCAGATTAAGAAACAGTATATTTCATGTTATATACTAAGAATATCATGCGACTTTGCTTAAACAGGTGTAAAATTAAATAAAGTAAGTTAATAACAATATATATACTTATATAATCACCTTGTTGTATTTTTAAAGTATTTTGGTAATCTAAATTCTTTTTTGTTAATTCATTATTAGCGAGTTTATGCTGCGGAAAAAATTTTTTTTAATATGATTTAATACAAAAATATAGCTTAGTAAAACATGATTTTAGAACTAATTTAAAAACTAATACATTCTATATATATTTTTTTAATTATAGTAAATGTTAATAAAAAAAATTTTAGTGAAAATAATATAATATGTATTAACCAGAGGTTAAGTTATTTTTACTTAAAATATATTTACTTTTAGAACTGTTTTTTTCAATTTTTTAACTTTTTTTGATTCTTTATTAATTATTTCATTAAATTTATCTAATTTAGCAATTAGAAAACGCTTCATTAATGCTCTTTCTCTTTTCAGCTAAAATAAGTCAACTAATAATTAAAAAATTGGATTTAAATAAGTGATACGGTCACATTTTGTGCACAAATCTTGGTTCAGTGAATAACATTTAACAGCTTGGTCAGCATTCATGCTTATTACAGATAGATATACAGGGACCCGCTGACAATGTTAATATACACATTCTTACAGAAAACTGTTTGTGAAAATATAGTGCAACAAGCAGTTGAGACCTACCAAATGAATGTTTAACATCTAATTAATATTATTTGAACTTATTATTATTATTTAATTATGATTTAAAAAATTATAATTCTCATGATGTTTATAGCACATTTTTATCTCCCTGATGGACATTCTCAACATATCTTGAATCCATAGATTACTATTTTATTATTAATAAACATTATTATTTGATTCCATTATACTTTAATTAGTTTTTTCTAATAGGACATGTACTAATTAAAATGTTGGGTTACTGTTAACAGGCATATGAGATATGTACCGAAATAGGGTCGTATCATAAGTAAAAATTAAAAATAAATATATAATTTTTGTATTCATTTAAAGAAATGAATTGTAAAAAAAAAGATCATCCACAGAATTAAAACTTACAATATTTTCAACATGAGATTGACTTTTACTCTTTTATTTTAATTTTATTCTTCATTATTTCGTCTGAAAAATAAATATAATTATTTTGAACATCTAACTTTATAAAAATTAAACACAAAAAGCAGAATAATTCTAAAAGAATAGGGTATATATGAATTAAATATTTTAAGCATAATTCTGAATTTTGCAAAAAAGCATTCTACCATGAATGCAAGTTTTTTTAAATATTTTTTGTGAGCAAAGCATATCTGACACGGCCCGTGTCGCTTCGTTATACACGATGACCCGCGACTCGTGCCATCTTTATCAGCCGTCGCCCTATGTTATGAGTATTTGACTGACCAACACCGCGTGCCATACGCCACGATGCAAAGTCCAGCAAATGCCGCACGGCCGACGACGATCCGCCGCAAATGGTACGAGAGTCTTCCTCCCGTTGTGAAAGCGACAACGTCGACCAACCGATCCTCACCCGCCTACAACGCTGCTAACCTGTTGTCGCCAAGGGATCACGCCGACGCCAGCGAAAGTGCCGCGATATTATGCGAAGATTATTATTACTGTGTTTATCTTTTCGGTTTGTTAAAATAATCTGTTGTCGCTCATTTAATAAACGGCGCACGGGCCTCTATCCTCAAAACCAGTGTTGACCACATTTTTGCGACGTAAGTCGTGTCATGGTTTAAAAATTAAAATTTTAAAAGGAATAATCTTTTTCATTTTTTAAAAATATTAAATGTAAAATCTATATTTAAAGTTTTATAAACAAATATTGTTCATACTCTTTGTAATTATCATATTAAGCGATTAGAAAGTTTATAATAAAAATAACTGTCATATATTAAAAGAATGAATTAAAATAATATTTTTCAGATAATTTTAATTTAAATATAGTGTTTATATTAATCAATTCATTTGATGGCGTTTAATAAAATGAATAATAGATTTGATTATACTAGTGTATTGTTTATCCATATTCTACAAATTACTTACACACATGATGTCTTAAGAATAATGTTACTTCAATTTTTTATTTGTACATGTTTGTAAAACAAATCTGTACAGATATCTAATATTTCCACTCCCATCTGCAAAGGAAATAACATCTCCATGATTTAAAACTTGATGATCATTTTGGTCATAAGGAATTTGCACACAATTTACATAAGTTTCATTATTTGTTCCCTGTAGTACAGATATTGTTGATCAACTTAGAATTAATTATTTTCTTTAATAGCTAAATTAATATAAACATGCAATAAAAATTTTAAGTCTTACATTGTGAGAAATAAGATATTGGCCATTGGATTTATTTATAAAACGATGTCGTCTTGAAATAGATTCTTCTTCAATTACAAGTGAACAGGCAAGAGAACGACCAATAACCAACTGAAGAGTTATAATATATCAATTTAAACATTTTAAAGAAAAATAAAGTATATTGTAAAATATAAAACAAAGTTTAGATGGCTTAAAGTTAATATAGATATTATTTTCATATAAAAATATATGTATTTTTAATAAGTTCATCTTAACACTTAAATTGAGTTTATTTCCTAAAGAAAAAATCTACCTCAGTCTCTCCAATAGGATAGTTAATGCCACTAGCCAAGCACTGTAATGTTGCATTACCAGTTATATCAGAATAACTGTTACTTCTTTTTAAGCTCATTGTATTTTTTATGTCTTTTAGGATTTATGGTATTCAGTTTCAAATCTATCATATAATTACACTTTAAAGTAGACTTAAAAGTAATGAAAGTATTTGTTTTGAATTAAAAACATTCGTAACTATGGTAGCACATGTTAATTACATAATGTTAATACAAAATAGAACAATTTTATAAAAGCTTATAGAAAATAATAATGTTAAACAAATAAATAACTGGACTCAATTTTAACTTCGATGCGAAGCTGAGAAGGTATTAATTTTACTATGATGTGTTTTTTTTTTTGTGTCTGTTACCACTTTTCTCATCTCTCACTGAACCGATTTCTTTCAATCAAACGTCAAAAGATCACAAATATTATCTAGTAAATGATCTCCTATTTCCTTATTTATATCCCGATTGCCAGTTTTATGATCTATAAGTGTAATATATGAATAAATATATATGAAGGGAAATGATTTTGTTTCATAAAAAAGTATGCCTAATAAAACAGATATATAAATAGTATTTATTTAATAGTATGTAATTTTCAAAAAGTTATAGCATTAGAAAATTAAAAATATAGTTTTTTTAAACTATATTTATTTTTCACTATTTAGTTTCATGTTATGATAGTAGTTAATATCAATATCATGGTTGTAACGGGTAACGGGAAATAAGGGTTCGATTCCGAAGAGGGAGTCTAAGAAACGGCTATCACATCCAAAGAAAGCAGCAGGCGTAACGTGGAGGTAGTGACGAAAAATAACGATACGAGAATCATCCTCCGTAATCGGAATGAATACACTACATATCTCTTAATGAGAATAAAGTGTATTAATATATAAGTTTTAATAGTAATTAGAATATATATATATTTAAAGGGACTTAAGTACGTAAACATATCATGCATGAGGTATAGCCGTGTTTATGTGGGCGGGCATGGCGGAGGGAACATTACACACGAGGCATATACGGCAGCAGAGGCGTCGGCTGTAGGAATATATAAATGAATATTAACATATATGTATANATCTTCGAAATGTTTATGAGATACCTCATAAATGTATTATATACATTAAAATAAACATTTTATGAAAATTTGAGATTAAAAAAAAAATTTTTACAGGTCGTTTAACGCGTTTTAAGAAAATTTGAGCAAAAATACTCAAAAAAACATAAAATGTCATTATTTATTCAATTTTTGTTCAAATTTCTTACTTAGTACATCTAAATTGTTCGTTTTTTAATGCCGAATAATAATAATTAGAAAAAAAAATTGTAAGTCCAAAATTGATTGCGTAAAGTCCATAAAAAGCTCAAAAATATGGTTAAGTTCAACGAACACTTAAGTAAACCAAAAAATTTTTTTTTTCATTTTTTTTTTTTAATTTGATTAATATTTGTGTGTATTTTAAGAGGAAAAAATTTTTTCCACTAATGTTTAAAACTACTACCTTTTTTTTTAGATTAGAACGTACGCTAGAATATACGATGTACATAAAAATAAATGAAAATATCGTCAAATTTTACTGTTTCCTTTTTACATTTTTTTATTTTAAAATTTGGCATTAGCTATATATACATACATATATATTTATAATTATAAAAATAAAAATAATTTTTTTTTTTTTGTCACCAATGTTGATTTTTTACAATCGGGGTACTCATTCTAGACAGAATAAACGTATCTAGCCGAAAAGCCACGTATATTTTGGCGTCTGCTTTAACTTAGTGTGATAAAAATATTAATGATTATTCGATAAGTAAAGATTGAATTCAAAGAGCTCGTAATTTTAATAGAAAAATTATAAATAATGAAATAATAAAATAATTCAAACCAAACACCGCTTTAATGGTTCACTGGGACGGAAAAATGTTGCCGTCTTACAACAAAAAAAATTACACTGAACGTTTAGCGGTATTAGTATCTGGTGATGGCAAAACTAAACTTTTGGGAGTGCCTAAACTTTTAAATTCTACAGGCAAATCGCAAGCTGATGCCGTTATTAAGCTTTTGGTTGATTGGAATTTAGTTAATCAAACAAATATGATATATTTTGACACTACTGCCTCCAACACTGGAAAACTAAATAGTGCATGTATTTTAATCGAAAAAAAATTAGGTAAGGAATTATTGAGTTTAAATCGTCCTGAGGATGATTTAAATTTAATTTATGTTCATAAATTTAGAAATTATGTCTATATTTGGTGCTAATATCTTTAACACAACATCATCTGTCAACATATTACAGTATAGTCTTTTGTCTATATTTTCCCAGCTATTAGAAAATCTTTAGAATAGAGCTATGTCTGGGACAGATGATGGAGGCATTAATTTATCAAAAACTCTCCTAATTATTATTTCATGTATATGGTGCCTACAAGCAAAACTCAATAATTCCTTACCTAATTTTTTTTCAATTAAAATACATGCACTATTTAGTTTTCCAGTGTTGGAGGCAGTAGTGTCAAAATATATCATATTTGTTTGATTAACTAAATTAGTTTAGTTTTGCCATCACCAGATACTAATACCGCTAAACGTTCAGTGTAATTTTTTTTGTTGTAAGACGGCAACATTTTTCCGTCCCAGTGAACCATTAAAGCGGTGTTTGGTTTGAATTATTTTATTATTTCATTATTTATAATTTTTCTATTAAAATTACGAGCTCTTTGAATTCAATCTTTACTTATCGAATAATCATTAATATTTTTATCACACTAAGTTAAAGCAGACGCCAATATATACGTGGCTTTTCGGCTAGATACGTTTATTCTGTCTAGAATGAGTACCCCGATTGTAAAAAATCAACATTGGTGACAAAAAAAAAAAAATTATTTTTATTTTTATAATTATAAATATATATGTATGTATATATAGCTAATGCCAAATTTTAAAATAAAAAAATGTAAAATGGAAACAGTAAAATTTGACGATATTTTCATTTATTTTTATGTACATCGTATATTCTAGCGTACGTTCTAATCTAAAAAAAAAGGTAGTAGTTTTAAACATTAGTGGAAAAAATTTTTTCCTCTTAAAATACACACAAATATTAATCAAATTAAAAAAAAAAAATGAAAAAAAAAATTTTTTGGT